TTTGGTTTCTACCGAGGGAAAAATTTTAATTCTATAAAAACGCGATATCTTCTGCATTATTATAAGATATAGGGTACCATTGGGAATTGGGCATTGCCAGCTTACATTTCCTTTAAATAAAATCCTGTACGAAAATTCTGCCGTGATTTGTTTAAAATTTTATTTATTTGATTTGCCTCAATATTAAGTTTGTTTCTTTTTAAATAACATATTTTCCCCTCCTACATGATCAGAGTTACACTGTTATATACCATACACCAGTAAACAAGCGGAAAATGTAAAGAACATATTTTCCCCTCCTACATGATCAGAGTTACACTGTTATATACCATACACCAGTAAACAAGCGGAAAATGTAAAGAACATATTTTCCCCTCCTACATGATCAGAGTTACACTGTTATATACCATACACCAGTAAACAAGCGGAAAATGTAAAGAACATATTTTCCCCTCCTACATGATCAGAGTTACACTGTTATATACCATACACCAGTAAACAAGCGGATAATGTAAAAAAAAACCTCTAAATACGAATATTCGGTTAGGATTAGGAATAAAAAGAAAATTTGTAAAAATAAAGTTATCAGCAAAAATAAAATAATCCCTAAGGAATGTCAACCCTATTGATCCATGTGTTATAGCAACTTTCACGCAAAAACGGAGTGAATTTTGCCAATTAATTCTTAAAAGTTTTAACTAAAACAAATGTAAATGCTTATGATGAATATAATATAATGATAAATATAAATGCTTATGTAATTCTAAAAAAATGCAGATACAAAAACGTTTAAGTAACTTTTCGAGGGAAAATCAAAGGCCACGGTGTTGCGGAGCTTTAAATTCTTAAAAGTTTATTCAACAATATGTTATATCATCTTTTTTATAAAACCTCATAGAGATTCTCAAGTCATAACTATTAAATATCTTCTATGTTTGTTTTTGTTGTTTAGAACAATCTGGATCTAGTGTTACATCTTCTTTTTTATAAAACCTCATAGAGATTCTTGGGTCTTAACTATAAACATAGAGAATAGAATATATATTAGAGGGGAATTTACTAGAAAAAAGTGTAAAACGGCCATTTTGTTGTACTGTTTCCATACTGCAGGTGAACTTCACATATTTATGCTATATAACCTTTTGGGCCCTGGAATATCATTTTATAGAAAATCTAAAATTATTGTTAAAAGAAAACCAAATTATGAAATAGGCTGGTTTCATAATTGACCAATGATCATTAAACATAGACTTTATGCCTTCCACTTTGCAAACGATGATTTTCCGTTATAACTATAAATCAAATGATGTTTTTTATTCACCTAATTCATTATAAAGTTTATTTAATAGTTTAAAAAATTCGAAATTGAAATGAATAGTCTAGGGAACATACTGTATTAATGTACTCTATAACTGCATATAATTTGTGAACATTTACATGATTTGTACACTTTGAACTCCCTTTCAGGCTGAAAGGGACTGACAAAATTCATACCGAGAGATTCTTTAAATTCCCCTCTAATATATATTCTATTCTCTTTGACTATAAATTATCTTCTATGTTTGTTTTTGATGTATAGAAAAATGTTCTAAATTATTTTAATTAGGATAATATCCTCTTACCTCTCTGAAAAATATTGAACTATTGAAAAAAGAAAATAGAAATTTAAATAAAAAGTTTTTGTTTGAATTTTCACGAAATTGTTTAATTGCAGCTGGTTGAACGATCAGAGAAGACTAATAAAGATTATTAGAAAAGAATTAATTTATTTACTTATTTTATAATTTATATTATTTTTAAACTGTGCACAGCAGGGATAGGGCTGGGCACCTTCCAACTTTTTCTAGTCGTTTCGTTAACGGTTAGTTCCAACCGGTAAAAAAATAAAGATTTCAGGTGGCCGTTAGTTTTAAAGGTAAGAACGGAACGTTCATTTCGTTAACGGTATTTTCCATTCATTTTAAAAGTTACTGATATTTAACGATCTGAATTTTAATAACAGCGTTAAGAGAAGATATTTTGCCATTAAGGGTTATTTTTGCAATAAACGGCATTAGCCATTCAGAAAAAATGTTGTTAAAGCGTTATCAGTGCAAGCCGTTAACGGTTGTTTGTAGTATTAACGGTGTTAATGGTTTGCCAAAACTCTAAAATTTTCATAAAAATTCGTTAACGGTTTATCAAATTGGATTTATGACACAAGCCCTCACCAAATTGCACATTTTTTAAAAAGTTCTATCATATGAATAGGGTGGGAGGTTGAAGACAACATTCTAAAACATCAAAATACGTAACAATTTTCTTGTTGTTGCAAGTTTTATGCAATTTTAGTGGGAAAAAAAGAACGAAAGTTTGGTTTTCTTAAAAACCAATCCGTTTCGTTTTCGTTTTCGACTGTTAATTTTTTTCTTCAAAAACGTCTAATCCGTTTTGTAATCGATTTAAGAGTTAATGGCTTATGCCGTTTGTTGACGAACGCTTCTGTTAATTTTCGAAAACCTCCGTTTTTTTTAACGGAACTTTGCCCAGCTCTTACCAGGGCTGGATATGGTTCACATGTTTTTTAAATTTTTGTTGTTCCACTTTCGTTCATGCATTTCTCGTTTGTTTTATATATTTCAAATCATCTTGTTTCAAACTTTCTGTTCAGTGTTTTCATCAAAGGATTGTCTAAATTGTCTATCTTCTGCTTAGGTGTTTAATTATAGTTGGTTGTTACTGTTATTTGGTTGTTAACGATAAATGAAGACGATCAATGTACAGAGTGGCCCATATCAAATTCAGATTGGATAATCTCCAAGCTTTAACGTCAAAATACGCACATAATACTCAAAAAACCTGGCATTTTCTGCAAGAATTTTTTATTCATATTTTGCATTATAAATTTTTAAAATGATTAATTTTTTTTATTTTCTGAATATTTTCTTCAATCTTAATTTCTTTCTGATGTGGGACAGCCTGTACATTTACAATTTATGATTTTAAATACCTGATTTTAAATACTTGATTTTAAATACCTGATTTTAAACACCTGATTTTAAATACCTGATTTTAAATACCTGATTTTAAGTACCTGATTTTAAATACCTGATTTTAAGTACCTGATTTTAAATACCTGATTTTAAGTACCTGATTTTAAGTACCTGATTTTAAATACCTGATTTTAAGTACCTGATTTTAAATACCTGATTTTAAGTACCTGATTTTAAATACCTGATTTTAAGTCCCTGATTTTAAATACCTGATTTTAAATACCTGATTTTAAATACCTGATTTTAAGTACCTGATTTAAGTACCTGATTTTAAATAGCTTTGGTTCTTAAAGTTAAAATGCTCTGACAATGTTTTAAGATGTTTGTTTTAGCTTAAGTTGGTTATCATAGGTTGATTGTTAAAGATAGCTGATGGTGAACAATGTATCATCTTTTTTTGATACCTCACTTTTGATAATTTTGGTTCTTAAAGTTAAACCTGGCGAATTTTAATGATTGTTGTTTTTAATTATGTTTGCTGATTGTGAATAATTTATGATACTTTTTGATGATTTTAATCATTTTGGTTCTTGAAGTTAACACTTCCCTACTTTTATTTCCCAGTGCTGCTTTTAACAATTTGGCACTTTAAAGTGATTAAAACTCTGATTAAATTGAATGATAGTATTCTTTTTAAATTTACAAAGTTATTCCCAGAGGATATCTGAACACTCTATAAGAAAGTTCAGATTTTCATCTATCAACATTTGTTAGAGCACCGGCATCGAATTCAATCATTCAACAACATTTGACGAAAATTCTGCTAAGGTGAATTTGATGCTGGTGCTCCAACAAATTTGTCAGATGAAAATTTTACATTTCATAGAGTGAATTCTGGGGGGGGGGGTTGCGTAGCCCCCCTTTTTCACAAGTCTGTATGGAACACAATTCCCATGCCCCCCCCCCTGTGAGGGAGGCGGTGCAGAGGCGTTATGAGCCCCGCAATAGTGACCTCCCAGCCTCCAGATTTGCAGGTTGACCTCCAGTCCCCGCGAAACCGTCTCAGTACCTATCGCAACGTCTCCGAGCCTCCGCCATTCTGTCTCCACTCTACGCATTTTGGTCTCCAACAAAAAATATTCGTCTTTTACATCCACTCAAATTTTTTTTTCGAAAAATCTCAACATAATAATTTAGTTTGTAATGATACACTTACAATTTGTATTAAAAAGTCCATTTTAATTGAGATTAAAGGTTTTATTTTTGTTTTTCTAAATTTCACAAATTCCTTAAATTGTGAAGAACCATTGCAGTTTTGTATAAAGATAGACAACTTAAATATTATTTCACAGGGGTTCTCCAAACAAAGTAGTTTTTGTGAAATCCTTGAATTTGTGCCTTTATTGCTTGCTTTAGAAAACATTGAAGAACTATTGTTTTTAAAAGTTGAACATTTTTTTTAAATAGTCTAAGTAATTTATTTGACTAAAACCTCTTTAGTCAATCATCTACCTGTGACTATACCTGTTAATATAGGTTGAAACCTCATTAATTTGCATTTTTATGATTACATTTAATATACTTAGGACTAGAAAGAGTTAATATAATCTTCAAATTATGATGTCTCAAAGATATTAAAGTCGCTTATACGCATATCAGCTTTACGTAAACTTTTTTCAAAACAAAACAACTGAGGATTAATCGAATGAATTAATATTTCAAATTTGTCAATTAAACGATCCTTTTAAACTATTGCGGAGTCCACTATGAAGAGATATATTTAAATTTTTGGATGGTTAAGCCATAAAAGGTTAACAAAAATAAAAAAGTGGAGATCAAAATGCGAGGAGTGGAGACAAAAAAGCAGAGGCTTGGAGACGTGGAGACAGGCACGGAGACAAATACACGGGGCCTAGAGGTCATTCTGCAAATCTGGAGGCTGGGAGGTCATTTTTGTGGGGCTCATGGTGCCTCTGCACCCCTTTCCGTCCCCATATATATGCACCCTTGATAATGACAAAAATCTACAAAATCTAAAATCTATTTCAGATATTCAAAGATCAATTGAAGTTCAAAAACATTTATAATTGTATAACCAGCTGACGCGCAATATGAGAAAAGAAAACCTACTCCTCGGCCTTGTCGTCTTCATTACTGTCGGCCAGGCGTACTCTCTACCCCAAGGTACAAATCTTACAAGTACATTCTTTTTATTTCGTTGTCAGATCATGTAATTCGTCTTTTATGGAGTTTCAGGTCGTCATTGTAGTCTCTACCGTCGTATTTCTTTAGCATCTAAAACCTGGAAAGAAAATTATTTTCTCAAAAATCTATGTAAATAAATGTATAAATTCTGGTGCAATGGCTTGTTTGATGCCTAAATACTTTCTTAATATGTAATTCAATCATTGTATGTCTTGGTAGCATTTTTTAGCCTTTACTTAAAAACTTAAATGCAAAAAGCTATATTTTAAATCGTAGAAAATCAAAATTCCTGTCATCAATCATGGTTCTCAGAATTCAGAACGTTTGGGAATAAATCCTAAAACTTCTTAAATTTTATTTTGTTAAATGGTTTACAAGTAAACGAATTGCTTTTATTTAAAAAAGAATGGAAGAAAATCAGACAACAAACCAAGAAATTCGAAGATCCCCAGAGAAATTTAATTCTTTTCTTTTAGTAATACCAAAAGAATTGTGTTTCCCCTTACTGTCAACTTATGTACCGTCTGTACATAGCTTTTGCTTTAATATTAGATTATTATATTCGTACACCAATAATTATAATAAACCAATAAAGCAGGTTTGACGCGTCCGGGCATCTCAATACGTGTCGCAACGTTCGAAAACAGCACTATGGGCTTAAAGAACAAAAATATTGTGTTTACATAATCACCGTTTCATAGGTTCTAGCCGCACTCCCTCCCCGGAATCACTGGACACACCGTGGAAATATCCCAAATTTTACAGCTCGATATTGATTGATTATAACTAGAAATATTAAGACATACATGCAGCTAGCTGTCTGTTTAGTGAATCTCTTTCATGATAGCTAGGGCAGGACGGTTTCGTCATGATCCATCTTTGACTATATAACCTGATCTGTGTTTAAACACAAAGGATTACGCAATGTTTAGTCTAATAAAGATGTCACAAAATGTCGTTTTTTCTTTCAATTTATTATTTCCTTAAATTGTTAAACAAATTTGGAAGAATAAAACCATATGGTCAATTTCCAACCATTTTTAGATACCTGGATTGCATGAGTTCAAAACCAATACTGTAGTTAATGACGACATAATCACGTTTACACAACTTTAACACTATTCGAATAAATTTCTGATGCATTATCTTACACTATATACCCATGCTTGATAAATGTAATGCTTCATAGATCTAAATGGAATTTGTCAACGGATTTGTCTAAAGTGAAATGCAAAATGTGCGCAAATATTTTGCTAAACCATGTTTGACATTACTCTGACGTCATCTGTTATACCTTTTGGCGGATAAAACTGTCAAAAAGAAAGGTGTCATTTCGGCAACCTTGTGTGTATTTAATGTTTTCATACAGCAAATAGTATTTCTAGTTAAAAATGAACTAATTTAATTAAATGGGTCTGTGTACACTGCACAATTGCTGTGTTTCATGTTCATTGGTTTATCTAAAATCACAAGCTTTACAGTTGTGTTCCTCTACCAAAGTTTCATGTTTTTATGTTTGTAGGTTCTGGATTAGTTCGGGGAAATGAAGATGTGGATTTCTACAAAAGAGATACAAGGTCACCACTCTACGCTCTTCCACTCTTCTGGCAGACTTACAATCACCAACCAAGCAAAGGTCAAGATAAATTCAAAAAGTAAAAAAACTTATTAAACTTTTATAATTGGGGGCACCAGGCTCAAACAGAAAATACTTGCCTCGAATTTTTTAAACTCTGTGGACCTAATGTGGTAGACCTTTCATATTTTAAACTGTAAAATGCACCTACCTAGATACACCATCAGGTTGCAAATATAAAAAGAAAAAAATAGAATTTGAGTAAAGTTTTTATTTCCTTTCCTCCTTATAGACTGTTTGAAATTTTAAAGGTACCAAGATGATTAAAGTACGGAAACTTTTAAAAATGATTTAACAATGAACAGCTCCAGGAAATACTGAAGTCAAAAATACTAAAAAATCTCATATTTGTGAGTTGCTCTGTATATCTAGAAATAACTCTTCTCTCAAATCGTGTTTTGAAATATATTAATTTTTTTGATCGTTATTGCAAATAATTAGCAAAATCAAATTTATGAACGAAAATTACTTGATATATGCGTATTATACCGTGTAACACAGAACTTTGGAGCCTTCGAATTTATAAAATGTCGTCTTGGCCATTTTCCATCGGGTTTTATACTGTTATGCCTCCACATAATTATTCAATTGAAAACTAAATATCTGCAGCATTTCATTATCAGTAGGTTAAGAAAACGACATTTTGTAAATTCCTTCGGTTTCTCCAAAGTTCTGATTTTAACATGTAAAATTTAAGTTTTGAGGCTTTTCAAGTATTTTTTCACCGAACTCAGCAATAAAAATAAACACTTCTATTTCCAAAACATTTGGGCCTCAGGGGTTCAGCCGTTTTGACTTGGGGGGTCTGGAACTTAGCTACCTGGCTGTGTGTATTCGCCTGAGTGTACGATTAAGACAGCTTACTGATATAGGATATTAAGAGATTATGGCCTATTCATACAGTACAAACATCAAATATGCAGTACGCTTTCGGAGTACAAGTGCATGGGTAGTTTTCTCAGAACCTTTAATTGTCCTATGGTCAGAAACAGACAAGCAAAATAAATAACTAGATAAAAATGAATTGATGTTTGAGACTGGAGAGGGGATAACCTGGGGGTAAAAATGTTTATTTCTTTAGTCAAATTTTCTCGGGTTCGGCGAATTCCTTATCATTACCCTGGGTTTTGGTATAACTTTCTTCCTAAAATGGGGGGAACAGGTGAACTTGTCATTTGTCTACTGCTTTTATTATCAGCTTTTCAGCGCTAAATCATCAATTCTCTGATCAATTCTCTGATCAATTCTCTGATCAAATTAGTATTATAGCTAAATCAACTGAGTATTACTGTCGTTTGAATTTCAGTTGACTTTCCATATTAAGAGGGACATGTCCTATTCACAACGGTACTCTTTAACCCTTCAATATTTAATTTTGACAATTTTCCGCCTTGTTGCTGAAGCAAAAATGCGCAAGTCACTCTAAAAAGAACCCACAATTGAAAAGAACCAATGTCTAAAGATATGATGCCTCCTTCAATAGACAATGCTTCCTTCAATAGACAATGCTTCCTTTAATAGACAATGCTTCCTTCATATAGACAATGCTTCCTTCAATAGACAATGCTTCCTTCAATAGACAATGCTTCCTTCAATAGACAATGCATCCTTCAATAGACAATACTTCCTTCAATATACAATGTTTCCTTCAATAGACAATGCTTCCTTCAATAGACAGTGCTTCCTTCAATAGATAATACTTCCTTCAATAGACAATGCTTCCTTCAATAGACAATGCTTCCTTCAATAGACAATACTTCCTTCAATAGACAATGCTTCCTTCAATAAACAATGCTTCCTTCAATAGACAATGGTATTAAGGGTACCGTTGTGAATAGGAAATTCCCCTCTGCAAATGTATTCAGTTCCTTTCTTCAGTTGATTATTAAAATATTCTGATCGTTATATTAATCAACAAATTATTAAATTAATAAACTGATTATTTTATTAATCTACAAATTATTAAATTAATAAACTGATTATTTTATTAATCAACAAATTATTAAATTAATAAACTGATTATTTTATTAATCACCTGATTATTTTATAAACCAACTGATTATTTTATTAATAAACTGATTATCATTTGAATCAGCAAGTTATTATATTAATCAACAAATTATTATATTAATAAACTGTTTCTCAAAATAATTAACGGATTATCAAAATAATCAACAAATTATTACATTAATTAACTATCTATTAAAATAATCAACTATTTATTAAAAAAATGATCTGTTTTTAAAAAAAATATACTGTTTATTAAAAATAATAAACTGTTTATTAAAAGAAATAAACTGTTATTAAAAAAAAATAAACTGTTTATTAAAAAAAATAAACTGTTTATTAAAGTAATCAACTGTTTATTAAAAAAAAATAAACTGTTTATAAAAAATAATAAACTGTTTATAAAAAATAATCAACTGTTTATTAAAATAATCAACTGTTTATTAAGATAATCAACTTTTATTAAAATAATCAACTGTTTATTAAAATAATCAACTGTCCATTAAAATAATCAACTGTTTATTAAAATAATCAACTTTTTATTAAAATAATCAACTGTTTATCAAAACAATTAGTTGATTATTAGAATAATTTTTTTAAATTACTGAACCGAATCTTAGTTTAATTATGAAATTGAAATAGTTGTGAAAAAATGTTTAGACCAGATTTATTAACCATTAATTAAAAAAAATACTGATGTTTAATTCTAATCAAAGCTTAAGTACATGATCGGTCCAGTAATACATTTGTCTTTAATGCTTTTGAGCTCTCCGCATTTTTCATTGCTTTAAATAAGTTTCAATGTATTCATAACTCTTCGCTGCTTTTCATATTTTCTCGTTACCTTTTTTGCTAAATTTAGTAAGTCAATCTGTCAAGGTTTTTAGTCCTCTGATCTTTAAGTTTAATTATTAGTATATAAGGAATTTTGTAATTGTAAAAATGTCTTTTTGGTGACTTAAAGAACAAACTTTGCTTATATTACGTCCTATTTAAAGATATTGACATTTTTTAGCCATTAACAAACAGATTAAAAATCAAAATGATTTTCGTAAAATTTTCATGAAAGATTGTCTTGTTATTGTGAAGGACAAAATTAATAATTGAAACTAAAAGTCTAAAACTCATTTATTCTTAACACTATACAAGCTTTTAGCTTCAACTTTCTGAAAACACGGCTAAGAAAGGATAAAATTTCTTTTCAGATTTGTTGACAATATAATCTTTTAATAAAGCTCAACTAAAATAAATTAAATCTTTAATCCTGAAGATTGCATGCCTGCTCAGAAACTGTTTGATCCCAAAATCAAATTATGCAAACTTATGTAAACCTAAATTCATGATTTAGTAAAAAAAAGTTTAATTTTAAAGTTTACACAGAAAGAAGCTTAATTTTTAAATCCTTTTATCTTCTGATGGTTTTGTGAGCATAAAGCATATTAGTATTAGTAAGTATTTACATTCATCATAAAGGAACTCCTCTGTAAGCGTAATTTAGAGTGACCCTTCATTCAAAACCCTTATTTAATCAATAATGTAGAAGATTTTGTCGTTGTTGTTCTAGGTCTGAAAATTTTTAATTTTAATAATTCCTCCATTCTGTCGATAATTACTAGATCTGATTTCTGTGCGGTCACACGGAGGTTTGGGGGGACAGTACCTCCCCCTGGAAGGGTATGGGACGGGATGTCGGCATACATAAAAAATCGGTCCATATCAATTAATCCAGTGATATATTTAATAAGAATGTTGTTCCTCCAAGTATTTCTTTTTTTGGTATAGTGCAACCTTGCAGCCATTCAAAATATGGTTTGTAGTTTCTTGTCTTCTACCTTAATCAGACATCAAGCTGTTAAGGGTAATGTTGTGAATCGGGCATTGGAATCCTTTCCTGGAGGGGCGCTTATAATTCCTTTAAACTTTAGATGAAAGAAAAAAGTCAATTTATTTTGCTTTATATATCATTGTCCACAATATATTTGTTTTGTTATTACTTCCTAATTTTCAATTATGATCATTACTTATATATAGGGTTAAAAACTTGCTAAAGCGTTTACTCATTATCGCTCATTTGAGGTGTAAACAAAAAAAAGGGGGGAACGTTTAGAATCCCTCCCCTCCTCCCGAGATAAGCGAAATTATGGTTGAAGTAGGTAATCGGCGACCCTCCCTCCCTTATACTTGAAGGTTGAAATGTCAAAATTCCTGCTCAAAAGTCTGAACTTTTGAATTTCGGGATCAAGCATTAATCCCCACCTAATACAGACCTATTCTATATCCCGTGATAGTTAAATCCTGCAGGGACAACTTTGGAATCAGGAATTAATCCTCAAAAATAAAAATGCACACATTGAATATCAAGGTCAAACAATATACAAAGTCGAATAGGTTCAGAATTTTTTTTTATTCAAATTTTTTATTTTTAACTTCTAATATTTATATATAATTTCAATATTCAGATTACAGAAAGCTAAGATCTGTGTCCTGGCAAAAAAAGAGAGGAAATGAAGGTAAAAAATCAAAGATGCAAAAAACATTTTACAAGCTTTTCAATCATAATACGCTTAAAGTTTGGGGCTTTTTGTTTTTTATTGTATAAAGTTTCGTTTTTTTAATTCTGTCTAAGAAAATGGGCACAAAGAAATATTTCAGTCTATAGCCAAGTACGAGCAAATATATTTTCAATAAATATTATCAAGTAAAATGGGTGGCATTTATCAATAATAAACTGTGTTAAGCTGAAGCTATGGATCTCACTCCAGTCATCAACACCTATCAGGTATACACAGGGATTATTCAGACACTCAGTCAGTAAAATTTAGATAGTCTCAGCTTTAAAATGTTGTAAAGAATTGACCTCTGGGGTATTCTCACCAACTCACTTATACTTTTTATTGTATCTCTAGACATATACATTTTGAGAATGGAATCCGCTTGTTTCTAAGTTTAAGTTTAAAATGAGAAATTGACAAAATACTGGTCAATTTTTGTGTGAGAGCGTGCACATCTTAATGTTATTATAGTCAATGATAATAATTATAAAAATAATAGTTATGATAATAATAATAATGATAATAAAAATAATAACATAATTATAACGATATTAATTTTTTTGACATTATATGTTATGCAACATTTTATAACGTGTAAGGTTTTTGTTAAATTATGTTAATTTTACTGTTAATTTTTTTATAATTCCTTTAGTTGATCTGTTGATTGTTATTGTTACTGTTATTGTCTTTGTTACTATCATTGTTATTATTATTAATATTGTTATTACTATTGTTATTGCTATTGTTATTACTATTGTTATTGTTATTGTTATTGTTATTGTTATTGTTATTGTTATTGTTATTGTTATTGTCATTGTTATTGTTATTGTTATTGTTATTGTTATTGTTATTGTTATTGTTATTGTTGTTAGAATGGTGAACCATGGACTGACATCGAAGATGAAAACAAGCCGAATGATTACGAATACAGGAAAACAGCAATTTTGAAAATAAAAATTGAAAGAAAAAAAACTATTTGTATTTTTATTTTTGGAACAAACAATTAAAAAGTTTTAAAGAGGTTGTGAATTAGATATGAGTAAAACATTTTTAATTTTTAATTAATTTTTGGGTTTAGAAATTCAGAAATTTTAATTTTGCAGAGACTGTTGGCTTTTAACTTTAATTTTTACCTTTTTTTATAAGATACTTCCGGACTGAAGAAAAATATCAAAGTTTATCAATATTTAAAATAGAAAAACGCCGATATCAATATTACTTAGATAAAGATTTATTAAGAGTACCATTGTGAATCGGAAATAAGAATCTTTTATTTGAGGGTCACGAGAAATAACGTAAACAGTCCCTTTAAAAGTCATACAGTATACAGTCCCTTTAATAGTCATACAGTATACATTCCCTTTAATAGTCATACAGTATACAGTCCCTTTAATATTCATACAGTATACAGTCCCTTTAATAGCCATACAGTATACATTCCCTTTAATAGCCATACAGTATACAGTTCCTTTAATAGCCATGCAGTATACAGTCCCTTTAATAGTCATACGGTATACAGTCCCTTTAATAGTCATACGGTATACAGTCCCTTTAATAGCCATGCAGTATACATTCCCTTTAATAGTCATACGGTAAACAGTTCTTTTAATAGTCATACGGTATACAGTCCCTTTAATAGCCATACAGTATACAGTCCCTTTAATAGTCATACAGTATACATTCCCT